GCGTCGCCAGACGTGCTGTACTGCCAGAAAGATAACTCATAATAATAATAATAATAAAATGTAAATAAATAAAAGAATAAGTAAATTCTGGCCGGTGGGCCATTTATATGTATAATTTTCTCGTTCTCTATATATATGTATAATTTTCCAACACAATTTTCATCAAACATAACCAACACACAATCGAGTTAAACTAACACACACAGTACACACTCCCCTATAAACACAAACCTAACAATATGGAAGTTATGGTTTTTTGTGTCTCTCTCAGCTGCATCTTAGCCGGACTCCTTTCCCTCCACCACTTATTCTTCACCAAGAAGGACAAATCTGCCGCCGCCGCCGCCACTGCCGCCAGTCTACTACCGCCAGGAAAAACGGGATGGCCCTTGGTGGGGGAGAGCCTCCATTTCCTCTGGGCGGGGTGGAAGGGCCACCCGGAGAAGTTCGTCTTGGACCGCATGGCTAAGTACTCATCCAGTGTTTTCCGAACCCACCTCGTGGGCGAGAAAGCCGCAGTTTTTTGCGGCGCGAGCGGCAACAAATTCTTGTTCTCGAACGAGAACAAGCTCGTCAGGGTGTGGTTCCCTAGTGGCATCGACAGAATATTCCCTTCTTCAACCCGATCTTCTTCCGAAGAAGAGGCCGTTAAACTGAGAAGAATGCTCCACAATTTCTTGAAAACCGAAGCCCTTCGACGCTACATCGGTAAAATGGACCATATGGCCCAGACACTCTTTGTAGAGGGATGGGAGAACAAGACAGAAGTCGTCGTCTTGCCTCTCGCGAAAGACTTCACCTTCCGATTAGCATGCAAGCTTTTCGCGAGCGTCGAAGATCCTCAACAAGTTGATAGGCTATCGAAGCCTTTCAATCTCTTGGCGTCGAGTTTGTTTGCCATCCCGATTGACTTGCCGGGGACACCGTTCAATAAGGGGATTAAGGCCTCCAAGATTGTCAGACAAGAGCTTGTTTCCATCATCAAACAACGCAGAATCGATCTGGCCGATGGGAAAGCTTCGCCCACGCAGGATATTCTATCCCACATGCTTCTCACAAGCGATGAAGATGGCGAATTCATGCAAGAATTCGATATTGCTGATAAAATCTTGGGCTTGCTGATTGGAGGCCGTGATAGTGCGAGTGTCGCTTGCACTTTCATTGTGAAATACCTTGCCGAGCTTCCACATATCTACGACGGAGTGTACAACGAACAGATGGACATTTTGAAATCAAAATCTCCGGGCGATTCGCTCAACTGGGAAGACCTGCAAAAGATGAAATATTCCTGGAGCGTTGCTTGTGAAGTAATGCGACTTGCAACACCGGTCACTGGAACTTTCCGAGAAGCCATTGCTGATTTTTCATACAAGGGTTACTCTATCCCAAAGGGATTCAAGCTATACTGGAGCGCCACTGCAACGCACAAAAACCCTGAAATATTTCCCGAACCGGAGAAGTTCGATCCGTCGAGATTTCAAGGAGCCGGGCCCGCACCGTACACATTTGTTCCGTTCGGCGGAGGGCCGAGAATGTGTCCCGGACTAGAGTATGCACGATTCGAGATCCTGGTGTTCATGCACCATCTTGTGAAGAGATTCAAGTTTGCGAAAATGATTCCTAATGATGGTGAATTTGTTGTGGATCCAATGCCGATTCCTGCCAAGGGTCTTCCTATTCGCCTCTTCCCTCACCCAAAATAAACCTTATCACCTTAATAATGGAATAATTTCGTATTTTCTAAATTTGTTCATGATTTCACTAGAGAAAACACAGAAAGGGAAATCTAAAATTAATTATAAAGTATTATAATATATCAAATGTTTTCTTATGGACTAAGTATCAAAGATTTATAATACGTGGCGTCATCTCCTTTATATATATCCTCTTAATGCATGACTATGCATATACAAATTCATGTATATATATATACGTATGTAATTTGTAATGAGAATAATATAAAACAGTTCTCTTCAGTGCTTATAAATTCTTCTCTCCTCGGTTTCATTTCAGAAGCTTTCATTTTAGCTTGTATTAATATATAATATTTATTCTACAACACATTATCAGCATGAGATTTTGCTCGATAGGGATTTGCTATTTTTGTATTCTTCTTTCTATTTTATTTTACGAAAATCCAGATCCTCGATTCATTGTCGAAAAGACAAACGAGAATGATTAGCGAATACTTCGGTATTTTATACGCTATCATTTCTCAAAGGATATGATGGATTCGTGTATATTAATCTATTGCTTATTTATTTGTTGAATTGCTGCTGAAATTTATATTTGAAAGCTTGTGGATCCCAAGCAGTGCTATATGCACATGCTAATTTTAACAGATCTGTGGGTCGATTTAGAGGCCGAAATATTAGCTACGAGCATGATGCTCGTCGAGTAAAATATATAATAATCTCAGTTGAAAGTTGATTTAGAGACTATGAGATTAACTCCGAGCCTGATGCTCGTGGAGTTGGAGAAATAATAATCTTCGTTTAAAGCCGATTAAGAGGCTATTTTTTTAATTCCGGGCATAGTACCCGTAGAGCTTAACAGAGACCGTATAGAGGTCATACTATAACTCCGAGTCGAAAAACTCGTTGAGTCAAGACATTGGAATTCCCGTCAAATAAATGAAATATAGCTCCAAGTGTAAGCTCGTTGAAACAAGAAAGCCGATTTAGAGGCTAAATTGTTAATATAACTCCGAGTCTAAACTCGTTGAGACTAGCTAGAAAGCCGATTTAGAGGCTAAATCATAATATAACTCCGAGCCTGAAACTCGTTGAGTCAAGACGTGATAATATCCGTCAAAAGCCGATTTAAAGGCCAAATATCTGAAAATATCTCCGAGCCTGAAGCTCGTAGAGTCACTAGACGAGGTAAAACTCGTCAAGAGCCAACTTAGAGGCTATTGATCACAAGTCCAAATTTAAAGGTTTTTGGGTTATCTTGTACCCATTGTATATATATCTCTCTCGGAAGATGTGATTCCCGAGATTGAGTTATTTTGTGTGTATCCATGTTTAACCTCTCTTGGATGGTGTGATTCCCAAGATCGAGTTATTTGGGTAAACCCATATGTACATATGTCCCTTGGAGGATAAATACCCGAGGTCGAGCTGATTGTGTTACGCGTACATGAAAAACATGGACAAATATGACTATTGCCTACTCGATAGTGCAACTACACACTCAATATTCAATAATAAAATATATTTCTCGAGTGTGGCTTTGTGCAAGGCACAAGTTAAAACCATAGCAGGTTCCGCGGAGATAATAGATGGCTCCGGGAACGCAACAATAGTGTTGCCTAATGGTACCACTTTGCATATTGAAAATGCATTGATATCCGGTAGATCAAGTAAGAATCTACTGAGTTTTAAAGATGCGAGACGCAATGAGTATCATTTAGAGATACTGGTTGAAAATACCGTGGAGTGTCTATGCGTCACATCATATGTCATGGACAAAAGAATTGTTCATGAGAATTTCGAAGCGACAGCTTCTGGACTGTATTGTGTCCAAATTCGAGCTTTCGAATCCTACGCCACTATGCCATGGAAACTTGTTAATCCCGATATACATGGATTATGGCATGATCGAGTGGGTCACCCAGAAACGACTATGATGCGTAGGACTGTACAACATACTAAAGGACATCCATTAAAAGATACAAAAAATCTTGATGTCCAATGAATATTTCTGTGAATCATGTTCACAAGGAAAGCTCATTATAAAACCTTCCATTGAAAAGGTCGGTTATGAATCACCATCGTTTTTGCAACGTATTCATGGTGATATTTGTGGACCAATACACCCTGCAAGTGGGCCATTTTGATATTTTATAGTTTTGGTGGACGCATCTTGTAGATGGTCCCACATATGCCTATTATCTACGCGAAATCTTGCATTTGCGCGTTTGCTAGCACAAATTATTAAACTCCGAGCACATTTCCCTGACCATCCCATAAAAAAAATATAAGGATGGATAATGCCGGAGAATTTACATCAAAAACTTTTGATGAGTATTGTGCAGCACTGGGAATAAATGTCGAGCACCCAGTAGCATATGTTCACACTCAAAATGGACTGGCGGAATCTCTGATTAAACACGTCCAAATAATTGCTCGTACTTTGCTGATGAGATCTAAACTCACTAGTGCAGCATGGGGCCATGCAGTATTGCATGCATCAGCACTGATTAAATTACGCCCCACTGCTTATCATATGCATTCCCCAATGCAATTGGCATTAGGCTTTGAGCCCGATATTTCGCACCTTCGCACATTTGGTTGCGCTGTGCAAGTGCCAATTCCTCCTCCTCAGATGACTAAAATGGGTCCCCAACGCCGACTTGGCATATACGTTGGGTTTGATTCACCGTCGATTATTAGGTTCTTGGAACCAATGACGGGTGATTTATTTACCGCTAGATTTGCGGATTGTCATTTTGACGAGACATTATTTATACCGATTGGTAAGGATATTCAGAATATCCGTGATAATGATAAACAAAAACCAATCGAGAATCTCACATGGTGTGAGCAACATTTATCTCATCTCGACCCACGTACCTCTGAATGTGATAATGAGATCCATAGAATCATTCATTTACAAAATATTGCCAATAGACTTCCTGATGCATTTAATGATGGCTATAAAGTCACGAAGTCTTATATTCCAGCTGTGAATGTCCCAGCTAGGATCGCTGTTCCTGAAGAACATGCGAAAATGAATGATGATCCCCCACGACAAAAACGGGATAGACCTATTAGATCAAAGGACGTTGTTCCTAGAAAAAGAAAGGGAAAAATCAATGAACCCTCAAATGAGGCGATTCCTAGTGAGAATGCTCCAGATGTATCTGTTGAGCCTGATATCGAAAAAGCGATATCAAATCCCGGGAATATCGAGAATCCCATAAGTTATTGCAATGAAATATGGGATATAAATGAGATAATCATCGATAATATATATTTTTGCATTCTCGGTTGCACAAGAAATTATGTCGATGATTATGATAGTGAACCGCGTTCTATAATGGAATGCCGCCAAAGAAATGATTGGCCTAAATGGGAGGAAGCAATAAAATCTGAATTGGCTTCCCTAGAAAAATGGAAAGTATTCGGGCAAATCGTTCAAACTCTGGATAATGTATAGCATGTTGGGTATAAATGGGTATTTGTCCGTAAGAGGAACGAGAACAATGAAATTGCAAGATATAAAGCCCGCCTTGTAGCTCAAGGTTTCTCCTAGCGACCTGGGATTGATTATGATGAGACGTATTTACCAGTGAAGGATACGATCACTTTTCGTTTTCTTATCAATATGGTCGTCCAAGAGGGACTGGACCTGCGTCTAATGGACGTTGTAACGGCCTATCTATATGGTTCACTAGATTCTGATATTTATATGAAAATTCCCGATGGATTTAAAATGCCAATCTCTGGCGCTCCTCGTGAGCTGCACTCAATCAAATTACAGAGATCATTTTGCATGGTCTAAAGCAATCCGGTCGCATGTGGTATCATAGATTGAGTGAATACCTTATCAGGGAAGGTTATAAAAATGATCCTATTTGCCCATGCGTTTTTATTATATTGCTCATTCCAGGGGGAGCAATAGTGCGCTGCACTCTTTTTCCCTTTTGACTGGTTTTATCCCGTTGGGTTTTCCAGCAAATGTTTTTAACTAGGTAGCTTATGCACACAGCTTGGATTGAGTTATGCACTCTTTTTCCCTTTTGACCGGTTTTGTCCCAATGGGTTTTCCGGCTTGAGCTTTTTAACGAGGCATACATTTTACTTATCCAGTTTATAGCCGCTACCAATAATACTTAGTCCAAGGGAAAGTATTATAATATATCAAATGTTTTCTTATGGACTTAAGTATCAAAGATTTATAATACGTGGCATCATCTCCTTTATATATATCCTCTTAATGCATGACTATGCATATACAAATTCTCGTATATATATATATATATATATATATATATATATATATATATATATATATATATATATATATATACACACGTATGTTTGTAATGAGAATAATATAAAACAGTTCTCTTAAGTGCTTATAAATTTCTTCTCTCCTCGGTTTCATTTGAGAAGCTTTCATTTTAGCTTGTATTAATATATAATATTTATTCTACAACATAAAGAAACAATATTGAAAAAACATAATACAAATATAAAATTTAAATTATTTACTGTAAATATATTAAATTATAACTCTTGAATATAAATTTGATGAATAAATTTATTAAAATACACTTTTAAAAGATGATAATATTATAATTATTCACAAATAATTAAAAATAGAAATATTAGAAAACCCGATCGAACCCCGGTTGAACCGGTCCAACCGTGATCCAGTGAACTAGCCGGTTTTATATCCGGTCCAGTTTTCAAAACATTGATCTTTAATTAATAAATCGTAATTTTTTGTACATTCAATCATGGCGCTTGCTAGTGATACTAATTAATACACTCTCGTTCGGCTATCTATATCGCATAAGTTTGGATTAGATAAGATTAAATTAATTATTTATTTGACTAATTAATTATTCATTTAGTAAGAGATTCCCTTTATTGGATTGGATATTGTATTAGGGGTTTTTGTGCATAAGTTTACTGACCAACCATCTTTATTATTCTACGCTTATGAGCTATATCTCTTTCGGCAATAAGCCTATCCCTTTAATATTTATTATAAATAAAAGAAAAATTAATGTATATATCAAAATTACCCCCAACCCTTTACACCCAATTCTTAATTGTAACTCCAATTTAACAATTTTTTAACAAAAAAATCCAATTTTGATTTTTTTTCAAAAATTATTTTTTTGCCGCCGGCTCCGGCGTTGACTTTTCGATTTATTTTTTTCCCGCCGGATTCCGGCGTTGACTTTTTTTAGTGTTTTTTTTTCGGGTTTCGGGTTTCTGGTTTTCGACATTTTTTAGTGATTTTTTTTTTCTCATAACATTTTTATCCCTTTTTTACGTTCACCGCTAAACGTTGACCGTAGTTGCACTGTCATTAACAATAATTATATTGTCACTGACAGTACATTAACGTAATTATACGTAATTCTACTGTCGTTGACAATACATTTATGTAATTGTACTGTCAATTACAGTACATTTGTGTAATTGTACTTTCAATGACAATACAATTAGAGTCAACGACAATATTATTATTTTTTTGGGTTTTTTTTTTCATTTTGTTTGATTTGTTGACAAGTAAACGTAATTATATTACTGTCGTTGACAGTAAAATAATTGTAAACACAATAATATTATTGTAACCTACATCAATATTATTATTTCTTTGGGTTTTTTTGTTTTGTTTGAGTTATTGACGGAGTAACGTAATAATATTACTGTCTATTATTGTAATATTAATATAAACACAATATTATTACTGTGGTTGACGGTAATATTACTGTATGTTACAGTAATATTACCGTCAACCACAGTAATATTAATTTCTTTTGGTTTTTTATTATGTTTACCTTTGTTGAACGGTCAACATATTAATATTACTCTATTACACAATAATAATGACTTTTGTTGTGTTAATATTACTGTGCTAGAGATTAATATATCAATATTACTTTGTTAAACTGTAGTATAGTTAATTTTACTGTGTTTAACAGTAATATAGTTAATATTACTGTCAACCACAACAATATTGTTGTTTAAACGAGGGGCAAAAAGATGTTGAAGAATCGAAAAGTCAACGCCGGAGACCGGCGGAAAAATCAAGAAGAAGAAAAAAGTAAACGCCGGAGACCGGCGGTCAAAGGCGGCGACGGACGAAATTGTCCATAAAATTGTGTTTTGGGACAAAATTTAATAATTTGTAAAATTTGGGGTCAAATTGAGGTTAGATTAAATTAAAGGATGAAAATGGAGCATATTAAAATGTGAGGGGCTATTTTAGTATTTTACAAACCCGTGGACCATATGTGGATTTTTTTGTAAAAGTTTTTTTTGTTTGAACCTCTTTATGAATAAGTACCCATTGATGGACTTAATTGTAAAGTGCCATATAGTATTTTAAGTCTTTAAATTCTAGTCCCATATGTGATTTGAATGTAAAATCTTTTATTTAACAAAGTCAACATCAACATGTAGTTTGAATGAAAAAATAATATTTTACTTGTTTAGTCACCTCTAGTTAAATTACTCTCTGCGTCCAGGATTGCTATGAATTTAATGAAATAATAACACTTACTAATGGACTTTAATACATTATAGGGTAATTAGGGGTGTAAAAATCAGACAAAATGGATTGAAAATGGCTTTTCAAAAAAATATTTTTTTTTTCGAAAGTAAAAAATGTGTTCCAATTTCCACTGCAATACAAATCGAATGCAAAAATTCATTCCAATTTCGGAATGCCTCGAAATCGGCGGAATTTCGGAAATTTTGGAAATTACATTAATTTATAATCTCTTGTTCCAAATTCGAATATAATAGGAATTTTCACAATATTTTTCTATCTTTTTCGTAATTTTGTAGAAAAATAAAAGAAATCCAAAAGAAAGTTTGACAAAACACAATAAATAAAAACATCCATGAATAACAATTTGAAACATATTCGGAAATTCGAAAATCGGAATGAAAAATACGGATTACAAATTCGGATAATTTTGAATCGGAATTGGCTGAATTCAGAAGTTCCATTCCAATTTTCACCCCAAGTGTAATCAAACAAGTATACAATTGATGTTTATTTCTTTGAACAATATAGAAATACAATTATTCTTTAATTACTGAATATAAATAGCTATATTTTTTGCTAGCATTACAATGTGAAATACATATCATCTTCAAACATTTAGAACTCGTGAACTCAAAACAAAAAAATTACATTAATTACATCAAGCTACATAACAAGGACTAGTCACAGATAACATACAAATTAAACAATATTAACATATAGAAATCATGTATCTGTTAAGAATCTAACATGAAATTAATTAAATATGTATTAATTTGGAAAACCTCAAAATATGTGTACTGGGTTGCAAATTCGTATAATTTGGAGGAATAAATATACAAGATTACTCAAATTTTACTCACATTATTCTTACAATAAGTAATCTTTTGGTAGTGTGAATCATTTATAAGATTTCAATAATTACAGTAATCTTTATATTCTATACATGGTACGTACTTTCGGTCGTGCACGTGGGTTTCGTAGAATCTAGACCTGATCAAATATACCATTTAATTTTACACCATTTATCTGCACACAATTGTCTCTCTCTCTCTCTCTCTCTCTCTCTCTCTCTCTCTCTCTCTCTCTCTCTCTATATATATATATATATATATATATATATATATATATATATATATTTTTGTTGAAACATAAAGTAAATTAAAGAAAAATCAGTGTACTTAACTATGATTTCGTGGAATAAGAAATTATATATTTTCTAAAATATAAATCAAAATGATAGTAATCACACATGCATCTAACTTCCCATATTCCACATAGATAACTAGTGAACACGATGAATATATTATCGTTAATTTACACCTGGACCAAGGGATTAAAAACCTTATTTAAGTGCATATATACACACGTGGCCGTGTGTATATATTATCATGCGTAGATTTATGGTTTAAAATCACCCGGTATATTTTACTGGGTACAACATCTACAGAACGACAAACATCGTATGAACACGATGGAAAATTGACAATCGTTTTTCGGATTAAAAAAATCATGAGTTGCTTTATACAAAATACACAAAAGGTCATACTATTGAATGCATTTGCAAACAAGAGAGAATTTATTACTGGTGAATTGAATGAGAGAAAATAATCTCTTTTTTCAACACCTTTTCTCCAAGAAACAAGGCCACAGTTACTTGTCTGGTTTCCTAAAAATCTCAGCCCTTGGATCTGTCATTACATCAACGGCTGTGATTGCATGCAGCTTATTACAAGAGTCAATGAGTGCAACCTCATTTTTTCTCACATTCACTACTGCACACACTGAGTTAATTTCTCTCTCAACAAATCAAGAAACACACATATTATTTCATAAAAAAATATTCTTCCTTCAGAAAAAAAAAGCATCAAATGGAAGGTGGTGGAAGAAATTCGCACTATCCGATTAATCGTGGTTTAATCGATCCAGACCCTCGATTAACTGTTATCGACAGTTTCTCGTGGGCCGATTATATTAGTCAAGAAAATTTCTCTAGCCAACAATTTTTAACCACATTGACAGATCACAATAATATTAATATTCCTCCACCAGCACCCTTCTTTTGTTCCGATGAATTTTTCGACATCAACCACATAAATAATCAATATTATCAAAATAATCTAATTAACTCAAATAATTCTAATTATGTCGTAATATCGGATGACGATGAGAGTATGGACGGTGGAGACGAATCGACGGAGAAGAGTACTTGCTCTCCCGAGTATTGGGTCAAGGGCCAGTGGACATATCAAGAAGATAGGTAAGTAAAAAAGAAATATTCGAAATAGCTTTTTTTTTTTTGTTTTTTTTTTTCGGTTTAATATTTGTCGATATTCGGGTTTTATATATGCAGGAAATTGATTAAGTTGGTTAATCAGTACGGAAATAGAAAATGGTCAGCTGTGGCTGAGCATATGGTGGGAAGAATCGGGAAGCAGTGTCGAGAGCGATGGCATAACCATTTACGCCCCGATATCAAGGTTTCTCGTTTGTTTTTTTTTTTTTTTTTTTTTTTTCTTAATCTTATATGAACAAGGAATCACCTTGTTTTTAATTTTAGTTTTATGTAGGTATACACCATTTTTTTGCTATTTAATGCTTCTTTTCTAGGGTTTGCTAATTTCAATTTACATTTTTTTTTTCTTCAGATAAAGCATTAATTCTTGATTTTGTTTTTACTGATAATAAAGCATCATATTTTGTTACTAAGGCACTGACTTTTATGTTTTCATGGAAGAAATCAGCTGGAGTTGTTTGCATGCCCTTTTCACCCCCCACCCCCACCCCCACCCCCTAATTAATTTCACTACTTTTTGGGCAAAATCCATAAGATAGATTATATTATATACAATTATGAATATGTATATATGTAATTTTTGTTTGATTAATGTTTCAGAAAAGTCTTGTTTGGACCGACGAAGAAGAAATGTTGATAATCAAAGCCCACGAACGGTTCGGAAACCGATGGTCCGCCATAGCTAACTATGTACCCGGCCGAACCGAAAATGCAATCAAGAATCACTGGAATTCAATCAAAAGAAAGCAGATTTCGACTCGAAAAATCAGCAAGCCCGAAAAGCTTAAAGGGGTAATCACATCAACTATTTTAGAAGATTACATCAAGAACAAGTATTTCAACAATGAATCATACTCTTCATCAACCACTAATAACAACACCAACCCTAATAATGCAATTACAAACCCTAATAATAACTACGATTATCATCACGGCATTTATGATGATATATATTACTTGATTCACGATACGATTGATGAGGAGATTAAATTCATGAGAACCCTTTTTCCGAACAACGACAACAACCTCAAAAATCAGACAGTCGGTTTAGCGGGACACGACTTGGTCGAAATTTCCTCGAAACTTAAGAAGCTACTAATTGATGATGATTATGGAGATATTTCGATGGAGGAGGCGGATATTTACTTTTCTTCCTATATGTTTGATGAATCCGATCATGGGAATATTATTGGATCGAACATGGAATATTGAAAATCGAGACGATGGATTTAATTAGGTCGATGGTTACATATATATTTATATAATATTCTTGTCATTAATGTTTTATAATATTAACTTTAGTTTGGTTTTCAAGTTTGTAATAAGAATTGTAGATAATATATATATTTCTGGTTTGTAAGAAAAACCTTAATGTTATAATCAGGGGCGTACCTACGCCTAAGGCTGGGGTGGCCCCCGCCCCCCCAAGATTTTTTTTTTAAGCTGTGTTTTTTTTTTTTTTTTTTTTTTTTTTGGGTATTTATGTATTAGTTTATACACTTTCGCCCCCCCAAACTTTTAATTTTGTACACTTTAGTCCCTAAAAACATTAAAAAAATTCTCTCTTAAATTACCCCTATATTTCCGCCCCCCCAAGAAAACCCCCTGGGTCCGCCCCTGGTTATAATAAATGGTGATTCAATACTTCACCTGATGTTGGTTTTTCGGGTTTTAGTTGCATGCGGTGTTGTTTCTTTTATAGCGATGTTTTTTTCTTCTGTGTTCCTCGTTTTTCTCTTGTCTTTATCTTCATCGGTCAACTGGTTTCGATTATTTGTATGCGTCTCTTTACAAACGAATATTTTCTCATAGATATATAAGTTTCTCTAAAGACATATATCCCATGCATTATGTATTCTTGTTTAACACACACACATACACACACACACACATATATATATATATATATATATATATATATATATATATGTGTGTGTGTGTGTGTCGCGCGCTTGTGTGTGTGTGTGGGGTGAGTGGGGGTGACAACTACAAAAGTACACAAACTATTTTGATTTTAATTCCTTCTAACAATTTTTCAACATGTTTGTGATGTAAGGTATAACTTTTTGATGTTGTTGTGTGATGAGTTGTTTGATAGAATTTCTTTATTTTTTTTGTTAGAATTAATATATATTATTGCATGTATATATGATTAAGGAAATGTATGTATGATTTGGAAGTAATTTAGAGTTCACGGTCTTTGTAGCTATCGTATTACGTATTAATTACCGTGTACATAAGACCATTAACCGTTATTGTTTTTATTTTTGTTATTGTTTTTCTTTTTATGTCGGAATATATGTTTTTGCATGTTACGAAAATACCGATATGATTGGTAGTGACGACATACAGTTAACGGTTTTGGTCGTTATTGTCTTACGTATTAATTTTATCGTGTATACGTATAAGATCACCTTTAATCGTTGATTCCTGTTAGACAAAATTTATTTATTTTCTATTGGAACATTTTTTGGTGTACAATTTTGTAAAACTAACGAATGAGTTTGTCGTTTTCGTTTTACGAATTAATTGTCATATAAGACCGTCGTACCAATGATTGGGACTTGGGACTGTGCGAAGTTTCATTGTCAACAATGTAAAATAAGGTTACAAGATTAAGAAGACGTATTATTCGTTATTCTTACTAACAACATCAAATTGAGACAATTTTTTTTTATAACTTTTTCTTTTTATTGTTACAGAAATAAATAAATAAATTCATCTGTCTTTTTCAATTTTCAAACAATATTATTAATTACTCATATGTTAGAAACTCACACTAGATATTAAAGATTACAAAAATCTTTAGTTAGTAGTTCGAAATTAAAGATTACAAAAATCTAAAGTTTTTTTGGCAAATATTTTGCCTTTTTATCTTGTCAAATTTGTTTTTTTTCGATTTTAATGTAGAAGTCTGATACGATATATATTTAATATATCGTATATTTATTCATTAGTTATTATTTAATTATTTAATATATATTATTTAAGTATTAATATAGTTAGAGCCGTAGGCTTAATGATTATAGGATAGATATTAAGTATTTTATTAGTTTAGGTAATTATCTTTCCTAGTTAGATTAGGATTCTAGGGTTTTATTCTCTTTAAATAGTCGTATTGTGCTAGGGTTTTATTATGCAAAGAGAAATAATAAAGAAGAGTTTTCTTACGTTTAGTAAAGAAATCTTATGATACTCGAGAGATCGTATCAATTGGTATCAGAGCGAAGTTGCGATAACACCAACGCTTCGTTAGCAAAGCAGAGATTATATCAAAGCTAAGCTGGAGCAAAGTTGAGATCACATCAAAACTTTGTGAAAATCATGATGTCCGAAACAAGACGGTTAGAGCGATTGGAGAAATCCGTAGAGAGATTACGGATTGATTTTCAGAAATTGCTCGAACAAAGTCACAGACGACGTCAACACCAACACAAAAGTCGAAGGGACCGCCGCCCATTACCGCCAACGCCACCGCCGCTGCCGCTGCCGAGCCTATCGCCGGAGGAAGAGGAAGAGGACGATGATGATTTTTTCAAAGAGCCACCGCCGCCGCCGCTGCCGAGCCTATCGCCGGAGAAAGAGGAAGAGGACGACGATAACTTTTTCGAAGAACCCCAATTTTTTGTGAGTTCGCCAGAAGAAGAGGAATCGGATTCAACTGAGATGAAGTGGGACGAAGAGCCGAAAGAAGAAGAATCGGAGTCAACCGAGATAAAGTGGGACGAAGACGAGAAATTAACCAGAGAGGAGAGCGAAGAGTTACTATGGATATTGGGAGATTTCCATGGTGTTCAAAAGAAAGGAGACGAAGAACCGATGGTCAGTTTGGAGGAGACAAAATCTACAAAGACGATTGAAAAAGTTTATTTATCGGGAAAAAGATTGAATATTTTCGCTAAAGTAGCCTTTGGAATTTCGTTGGATCAGCATGAACAATGTATTAAAAAGCTCGGTCGTTCATCGTGTTTTTCGGAGTCAATCGGGAAGCAAGTTAATGAAGTCAAACATAGGTGGAAGCGCAAAGGAGAGGGATCAAATTAACTCGAACCTTGAGGACAAGGTTCATTTCAAGAGGGGTGGTTTGATACGATATATATTTAATATATCGTATATTTATTCATTAGTTATTATTTAATTATTTAATATATATTATTTAAGTATTAATATAGTTAGAGCCGTAGGCTTAATGATTATAGGATAGATATTAAGTATTTTATTAGTTTAGGTAATTATCTTTCCTAGTTAGATTAGGATTCTAGGGTTTTATTCTCTTTAAATAGTCGTATTGTGCTAGGGTTTTATTATGCAAAGAGAAATAATAAAGAAGAGTTTTCTTACGTTTAGTAAAGAAATCTTATGATACTCGAGAGATCGTATCAAAGTCATCGTGCAATATTATATTTAATTGATTGGATATAGACCACTCTCCTTTTTTAATAGTATCCATAGAAAAATTTAACAAGGGATTTATGTCCCGTTTGAGTAAGCTTATTTTAAACAGTGATAAACTTTTATGTAGATAAGTTGTTTCAAGAGCTGATAATTATAAGTTGTTTAAAATTATTTTTCAAGTGTTTGGATAATTAGCTTATAAACTATTTTTATTCATTGTAAGATCTTAAATAAAAAAAGTGGGGCATATGTACTTTAAAAAAATATTTTATTTGCTCTTCAGCAACCTTTTTTTATTTTTTTATTTTTTATTTTTTTTATTTTAAGATCTTTAAAAAAAAATATCAAACACTTTAGAAGAACTTATAAACTCTTAATATTTTATAAGCTCACTTTAACAACTTATAAGCTCAACCAAACACATTTAATTACTGTCATTATTTCTCCTACATGATCTTCCTAGTCAAAATTCATGAAAGTTTATTTGAAGTACAATCTTCTATACTCTTCTCACTTTTTCATATATATTTGATACGGACTCGTTTCCCTAAAAGTCCGTTAATGACAAATTGTACAAGCTTAAGAGCTGAGGCCCAGGTCCACGACAAGATAGGCCATCTTCGTGCCTCCTACATGCGAAGCAGGCGGCGGTTGGCTGATGAGAACGGACGTGCAGTTGCGACAGCAGTGGAAAGCCTGCAGTGATAGCGACATGAATGTCCACGTCAGATCCAAGAAGGACGAGCTATTCGTTTAAAAGCATTAACACAACTTGTGAGTCCTAAAATGGGTTCGCCTCCTGCAAGCAAAACAACTCCGAAGAGACATGTCATCCCCACGTAGGAGTATGGGTAACTGAAACAGATGGTCCCGATTCCAACTAACTTGATCGTCGGAGTGCTAATGTCGGAAAACCTACTCCCGACACTCCTTTTTTGTAGGTCGCTTAGGCTTGCTCGTGGGCTTGCTTTTGGGCTTCATCTTGGACTCCTTCATATTTACCTAGCTATCATATTCTTTCCTATTTCGTATATTTGCCGTATCGGTCACATCAATATTCTTTTGGGATTAATATGTATTCCACGTACCAAACCTAATTAGAACTAAATGACAACCTCAAACTATATATTTTTTCAAATACATTCTTATTTTCAAATATTATATGACCCATATTTCTAATCTTATTTTATTTCTAAGTTGCCCTTATACCCTAAATTTAATAATATGTAATTTTCTTTCCAAAATTCATAACCAACATTTTTTCTCAGCTCTATTGAACTACTCTCTCTCTCTCTCTCTCTCTCTCTCTCTATATTATATATATATATATATATATATATATATATATATATATATA